ACATTTAAGGTTCTTCCATACCTTTTCATGGCTTGTTACCTCATTTCTTTTTAGTGCTGAATAATAATCCATTGTGTAGATGTACCACAGTTCATTTATCCACTCATCTACTGAAGGACATCTTCATTCTTCCACGTTGTGGCAATTATGAATACAGCTGCTGTAAATTCATGTGTAGTCAAAATGAGGACATAAGATTTCAGCTCCTTTGCATAAATAACAGGGAGTACAATTGCTGCATCATATAGTAAGAATATGTTTTGTTTTGTAAGAAACCACCAAATTCTTCCAAAGTGACCATATCATTTTTCACTCCTGCCAGCAATGAATGAGCATTCCTCTTGCCCCACATTCTACCTAGCTTTTGGTGCTGCCAGTGTTAACAAATTTTGGCCATTCAAATAGGCATGTAGTGGTGCTTAATTGTTTTTGTTGTTGTTGTTGTTTTTAAGATTTTTAAAAAATTTATTTACTTAAGACAGAGAGAGTAAGTGAGAGAGAAAGAGCATGAGCAGAGGGGGATGTGTAGAGGGAGAAACAGACTCTACTTAGCTGAGAGCCCGATGTGGTACTTGATCCCAGGACCCAGGGATCATGATCTGAGCTGAAGGCAGATGCCCAAACAGCCACCTAGGCATCCTTAATTGTTGTTTTAATTTGCATTTCCCTGATAACATATGTGGAACATTTCTCATTTTTTTTAATCTTTTCATATTTTTATTTGCCATTTGTGTATCTCCTTTGGTGAGGTATCTACTGAAATCTTTGTCCCATTTTTAAATCAGGTTGCTTGTTTCTAAATTTTAAGAGTTCCTTGTGTATTTTGGGTAACAGTTGTTTATCAGATATATCTTTCGCAAGTATTTTCTCCCAGTTTGTGTCTTGTCTTCTCATTCTCATAACATTGTCTTTTGCAGAGCAAATGCTTTTAATTTTAATGAAGTCCAGTTCATCAATTATTTCTTTCATGGATTGTGCCTTTGGTGTCATCCCATATGTTTTTACACATTATATTTTCATTTTAATTTCATTAAAAATATTTTCTAATTCCCCTTGTGATTTCTTCTTTGACTCATGGATTATTTAACTTCCAAATATTTATAGATTCTCAAATTTCTTTCTGTTTGAATTCTCTTTTAATTCTGTTCTAGTCAGGGCACATACATTATATTATTTAATCCTTTTAAATAGATGAGACTTGTTTTATGTCTTACCATATGGTGTGTCCTGAAGGACATTCTATATGCACTAAAAAAAGTAATGAATATTCTACTGTTGTTGGGTGGAATGTTGTATAGATATCAATCAGGTCAGGTTGGCTGATAGTGTTTTTCATGTTTTCTATATCAATGCTAATTTTCTGTCTAGTTGCTCTATTAGTTACTGAGAATGTGGTATTGAAGTCTCCAATTATTGCTGGATTTTCTATTTTTCTCTTTAATTATGCTTCAGGTATTCTGTTGTTGGTATGTCTACATTTATAGTTGTTATATCTTCCTAAAAATTGTCTGTTAATCATTATAAAATGCCCTGCATTATCCTAGTAACATTGTTGTCTTAAACATTGTTGCCTTGGGGCACCTGGGTGGCTCAGTGGGTTAAAGCCTCTGCCTTCAGCTCAGGTCATGATCTCAGGGTCCTGGGATCGAGCCCCGCATCGGGGGTCTCCACTCAGCGGGGAGCCTGCTTCCTCCTCTCTCTCTACCTGCCTCTCTGCCTACTTGTGATCTCTGTCTCTCAAATAAATAAATAAAATCTTAAAAAAAAAAAAAAACATTGTTGCCTTAAAAAGTCTATTTTATCTGGTATTAGTATAGTCATTCCAACTCTCTTATGGTTACATGTTTCCATAGCATATCTTCTTCATCCTTTACTTTCAACCTATTTGTGTCTTTTATTTTAAAGTCTGTCTCTTTAGTTGGATCTTAGATTTTTATTCAACCTGAAAATTTCTGCTTTTAATTGGAGTGTTCAATCCATTTACATTTAATGTAATTGTTGATATGGTTGAATTTATATTTGCCATCGTGGTGTTTTCCATTTATTTCATTTTTTGTTCCTGTTTCTCCTGTACTACCTTTTTATTCAGAGAAGATATTGTCTAAAATATTATTTTAATTTCTTTGTTTTTATTTTGTTTTTTATTTTCATAGTAGTTTCTTATTGTAACACATCAGAACTCATTACAATCTACTTTAGAATAATACTAACTTAATTCCAGGTAACTACAGAAACTTTGCTCTGATAGAACTCAATTTCCCCCTCCTTTGCGCCTTTATTATTCTAAATATTATGTTTTCATGTATCATAAGCCCAATAACACAGTTTTATAATTTCTGTTTTATGTAACTGTTATTTAAATGAGTTAAGAAAAGAGTAATGGATATTTTCAACTGTCTTTTATATTTACCTATGCAATTGCCATTACTGGTGTTCTCTATTCTTTTGTGTCACTTTGAGTCACCATCTGGTGTCATTTCCTTTCAACCTGAAAGTGTCCATTTCTCATTTCTTGTAAGGCAGATTTTCTCACATCAAATTCTGTCCTTTGTTTTTCTGGTTAAGGTTTAAATTGTGCTTTCAGTTTTGAAGGATAGATTGCTACATATAGAATTCTTGGCTGCCTTTTTTTTTTTTTTAATTTAGCATTTTGAGTGTGTCATCCTACAGTCTTCTGGCCTCCATTATTTCTGGTAAAAATTCAGCTGATAATTTCCTTGTGTTCCTCTATATGTGAAAAGTCATTTTAGTTCCAAGATTTCCATTTGAAAACTTTTTTTATAAACTCTGTCTCTTCAATCATACTTTCCTTTAATTTTATATTATTCCTGTTAGTTCTTTGAACATCTTTATAATAGTAGTTTTTAATTCCTTGCCCATGAAGTCTAACATTTGGGTTCCTTAGGAGATAGTTTCTATTGGCTGCTTTTTTACTTGTTTATGGATCACACTATCTTATTTCTTTTCATGCTGTGATTTTTGTTCTTGTTGAAAACTATACATTCTAACTAATATGTTGGAACAACTCTGGATTCTGAATCCTCCATCCCAGAAGTTGTTTTGTTGTTTCTTTTTTGTTTGTTTAGCAATTTACATGGAATAACTCTGTAAAGTCTTGCATTGTGTAGCTGCTGATGTATCTTAAGTTTTTCTATTTTTTAAAATCATTTCTTAAGACCAGCTTCCTAAAGGTTGTCCCTGAGTCATCATAGCTTAACGGTGAGACAATGTTTGATTAGAGGTTGTGCTTACCTTGCACCAGTAAGGCTTCCATCTTTTGCAAATGGATCTGTGTGTGATTTGGAGAACATATTCCAAATTCAAACAGTTTCTAATTCTCACGGGCTTCTCCTTTCTGGCATGCCTTCTCATGTCTCCTTTATAAATGTGCTGTTTCACAATCATCTGCAAGTACATGGATAGTTAGTGCCCTCTCCAGTCTCTCCAGAGCATACACAGCCTTCCAGACTACAAGGGGTATGCATTTAAATTACAGATCTGCAATAGTGAGGCTGTCCATCTGAGACTGCAGTAACTGAGTTACTTACATTTAATTAGTGGGTCTGGTCACATGCAGAGATGTGTTCCTGCATGTGCTGGACATTTTACATTGAGGAAACCATGTAGAATATAGTGAAGGGAGTAACATTAACTCCAGATAAACTATTTTTAAGTCAGGAGACACAGTGGTAAGAGCAATATCATATGTGTGAGCTTATCAAGGCCCACTGAGACTGACTTATTCCCTAAATCTCCCTGTTAAATTTCCTGAAAGTCTGCTGCACTACCAGTATCAAAATCTTAAGGTATCCAAGGTATTGGCCTTACCTGGAGCATGTGCTTAATTCCAAATCAAGTTAGCTCCCTCCAGCAGTGGAGTTGCTGGTTTTTAGGACTTTCTTTGTTCTTTTAGAAGTACCAAGTTAATGGAAACTGAGGGAGGGTGTTGTGCTCTAAATCATTTCACCCAGCCACTTTGTTATTGAACATGAAGACTTTTTTCTTTTTGATTCAATGGCCATCTTTATAAAGCTGTCTTTGTTACTATTTGTATCAGTTTCCTAAGCCTGTTCATAAAAAATTACTGTAAGCTCGGTGGTGTAAAACAACAGAAATGTATTCTCTCACAGTTCACGGAACCAGAAGCCAGAAATCAGAGCATTGCCAGTGTTGATTCCTTCTGGAGACTCTAAGGGAGAATCTATTCTGTCTCTTTCTTAGCTTTTAGTAGCTGCTGCCAGCAATCCTTGGCATAGCAGCAACCCTCCAATCTTTGCCTCTGTCGACACATGGCCCTCTTCCCAGTGTGTCTGTGTACCTGAATTTCCCTCTCCATTCATTCTTTTTTTTTTTTTTAAGATTTTATTTATTTATTTATTTGACAGAGACACACACACACACACACACACACAGAGACAGGTAGGCAGAGGCAGGCAGAGGGAGAGCGAGAAGCAGGCTCCCTGATGAGCAGAGAGCCTGACACGGGGCTCGATCCCAGGACCCTGAGATCATGACCTGAGCCAAAGGCAGAGGCTTATCCCACTGAGCCACCTAAGCGCCCCTCGCCATTCATTCTTTTATAAAGACACCAGTCACTGGATTTAGGGCATGTCCTAATCCCATATGACCTCATCTTAACTACATCTTCAAAGACTCTATTTCCAAATAAGGTCACATTCTGAAGTTACAGGTAGATGTGAATTTTGGGGGACACTATTCAGTCCAGTAGACCATTCATTATAAAGTATCACCCAAAAATCAGCACATCTCTGTCTTGTGGATTAGGTGATCTTATGTGAAGATTGTTTGAAAATGAGTAGAATGCTAAAATGGCATTTAACTTTTTGTTATGATAGTTCTTCAAGTTAAACTAGCTTACACTCTCTTTTTGGTTATTTTATTCACATTGTTAAGAAAAAAGAAGAAAGTCTGTGGACAGGAAAGGGTTGGCAGAGTCTTACCCTTCTCAACTCTGACTTGCATGTCTGCTTTTAATCTAGAGCCAAATAACTATCGAACCATGCATGGCCGGGCGGTAAACGGCAGCCAGTTGGGAAAGGATTACATCCAGCTGAAGAGCCTGTTGCAACCCATCCGGATTTACTCCAGAGCCAGTTTATATGGCCCTAATATTGGGCGGCCCAGGAAGAACGTCATTGCCCTCCTAGATGGGTAGGTCATATTTTTTAGCAGTTCTTGTAAGACTATTCATAAATATAATGAATTAATGTATTTGTACTTTTCCAAGTTATTTGTGGTCTTAAGAAGGATGGAGAGACATTTTTCATAGTAACTTCCCCAGCTCTAAATCAGTGATTCTCCATCAAACAGCAGAAGAATTTTGCATCTCTCCAGGCTTTCCATAGTCAGCAGAAGGTAATGGGACTGGGGAAGGATATCACAATCTCCTGGGCAGGTGGAAGGGGATTACATTGTCTTAAAAAGTGCATGTAATATTATAGCATTTCATCACATTTTTATTTTTAAAAAGTCAAAATATTATTACTTTTTTCTTATGACCACTTATAGAAAGTAAAGCTTGACAAAACCCTGGCCAATATAGCTGGACTAAAAAGTTTGGAAAAACTAATGCTACTTTTAGATAAAAGCATTACTTAACTGATAGATTCATTAGAAGATATCCTAGAGAATTGTTACCATGTTTAATTGATTTTGACTGAATCTAATAATCATCTTTAAGCACTGGTTATGGATGAGTCACTATGTTAAATGTTCTGTGCCCAGTCCTATTGCTGGGCCAGCCCAGATCGAATCCAAGTAAGTTAGATTCAGTTATACAGGGTGGGAGGGAACATCTGAGGGAATGGTAGGAGGTAGGCTGAATTGTATGTTGAATCCAGGACCTAAAGTGGAGATGTGACTGGAGTAGAAAGGGTCGGAACTATGATGTTGGGAGAGTCAGAAGTTCCCCTGGAGCACAGAGTATGCACCAAGGTGCACCTGTTATGTGCAATCCTGTCATACTCTGAGATAGCTATAGTTATTCCTGAAAAATTGAAAGATGAGTACCAGTGAAGTGCACATTCCAAATGAGGTTAGATAAATGTTATACAAGTACAAACAGAAATTATCAGAGGAGGGAAACCTTGGCCAACCTCTAAGATGGCCCTTGTGACTTGATGGCTCTTTAATTCTACCCTCCCTTTTGTGGTGGCTTAGTCTTAATCTAAGACAATGAACATAGCAGACATCACTAAAGGTTTGGGAAGGCACATGGATTAACACTGTAACAATATTAACAATCCAAAATTTAATCGTAGGCATTTTCCTTTTTACAAAGTATCCCTAAGCCCTTAGTTCAGCTCCAGTCCTTTCCCCCCACCTTTTTCATTTCTTCCCTTCTCTCTCAGGAGCAACTTCCCCTTTTTTTACACAGCAATTTCATGACCTTGGTCCCTATCCACAAATGCAGCTCTTAGTTTCCTTTTGCATACTTTCACTGATCTTTGAAATTACTGTGTGTGTGTGTGTGTGTGTGTGTGTGTGTGTGTGTGTGTGATGGAGAAGGAGAGGCTGATTTCATTTTATGTGTTACAATTAAGGGATAGGAACCACATGTATAGAACTTTATTAATACATAGTTCATAATACGTAATAAAGCAAGGCCAGTAACTATCTTTTTAACCCATGTAGTTATTCTTTTGGATTGTCCTTTTTCTTTAATGATTTGATCAGTGTATTGTCATGGAATTGACAATGCCCTCTCAGTAACATGACCTACAGGGTTAATCATTTATTCATCCTACAAATGTTTCTTGAGTTAACTGCAATGTTCTGGGTATTACATTAGGAACTAGGATTGTAATAATAAACAAAAACAGATACTTTCTCTGCCCTCATGGAGCATGCAAAGTGATGGGGGAGACATAGACATTAATTAACTGATCTTAAAACTAGAACAATACCAAGGAAAGTTACATGGTTCTATGAATGACTATAAGGGGTGGGATTTGATTAAGTTAAGAGGTCATGGAATATGTGTGGGGTCCACTTCCTCATACATCCAAAAACTAATAGGACTCAAGAGACTAGAGAAAATCACTTAGGGAAAGGGAAGGTACTGATGAGCACTTTTTAAAATTTTATGTGTTAGAAAAAAATGGAGATTTTTCTTTCTTAATGTGATTGTACTAAATATATAGTGAATTCTAACTTGAAACACATAAACATTCCCAGCAACTCAACCAACAATAACAAAAATGTCAGCACTCTAAATTACCAGCTCGGTAGTATTTTCCAGTATTCCTGGTTATACAGATATAATTTTACATAGTTACGATCATTCTATATGCATCATTTTGAGTTCTGCATTTTTAACTCATTGCTTTATATTGCCCTTTTTTATTTCTACATAGTTCTCATATTTGTCATTCTTAATAGCAATAAGATATCCCATTGCATTAATGTACCAAAGTCTGCTTAAACGTTCCCTCACTGTTGGGCATTTGGGCTGTTTCCAGTTTTTGTCTGTAATATATAGCACAGCTATAAACATCTTTATACAAATAGGTTTTGTATTTCTTTTGAATTATATCCTTGGGCTATATTCCAAAAAGTTTCTGGGTCAAAGAACATGGTAATTTTTATGACTTTTTTATTTGTTGCCAAATTTCTTTTCAGAACAACTTCACCAGGTTGTAGGGCAGCAATGTATTAGTACATCTTTTCCCCCAATACCCCACAGCAGTGATTATAGCCATTTTTAAAAATTTACTCTATTTTAATTAATGCAAGACTGTGCCTCATGACTATTTAAATTTGAATTCTGTTAACTATGAAAGGAATTGAACATCTTCCAAAACCTTATGTTGTCTACTTTCCCCCATCCCAGGTTTGGTTAATAACACTATAACCATTTTGCCTTAGGTGCAGACCAGGAGGCCATTTTACATTCATTCCTCTCCTTTTTCACATAGTCCATTAGTTAATTATTAACTTCTGTTATTTCTGACTTCTTAGTATCACTCACATCCCATCTTCTTTTCAATTTTATTTTAAACCTTATCCTTCTTCTTCCTGAATGGTTTCTCTATGTCTAGTGTCAGACTCTAATAATTTCTCCATATAGATTTTCTGAGTAGTTTTTTTAAAAAAATACAACATGTGGTCAGATCTCTCTTGCTTGAAGTCCAGATGCTTTCACAAGCACCCCTGGCCTATAGGGTCCAGTGACTGCCTCACTTTGCAGCTAGTAATCAGCTATACCTCTGTGCACAGCCTGCCCTTAGCTACGTCAAAGTATATGTAAATTTGGGGAGAGGTTAGACACTTTTTACCTTTGCCCCTTTTTATTTTGTGTCATTTTCTTTGCAATATTACTCTCCTCTCATTTTTCCTCCTTCTAATAAGTGTTATCTGACATTCTCAGGCAGGACTTTTTATCACCTCCTCTGTCCTTATAATAGCATTTTGTTTTTTGTATTTTTTTTTCATTAGCACTTATCAAAGTATTGATAAATTATTTATTTACATATCTGCCTTCCCTGGTAGACTGTGGACTAGGACCAGGACCTAGTCTGTTTTATTCATTTAGCCTCAGAACCTATGAATATAGTAGGTGTCTTATAAATGCTTGTTGAGTGAATACTGTCTTATTCAACAGATGGTCTAAATTCCTCAATTTGAATGTGATCAGTATGCACAAATGTGATTGTGAAGCATTGAAAATCATTATATAGTGATTTAAGTAAATTGTGGTGATTTATATAAATCATTATATTTAGCTTCAGTTTTAGAAAACTAACCTTTTTTACTTAGGTAGTTATAGGACTAAACAGAATTACCTTCCCAATTAGGATATAACTCCAGTTTGACAGAGATAGAATCTTCATGTTTATTTCTTCAGGACTAGCATATGGGAAGTACCTAATAAAATGCTTGTTTTATTATTTTCATTTCCTCATTTGTGAACTGGCCATTTTAGTCAGTGATTTTTTTTTTAAGATTTTGAGAGAGAGTGTGTGTGTGTGCAAGCAGGAAAGCAGCAGGCAGAGGGAGAAGCAGGCTCCCCGATGAGCAAGGAGCCCAATGTAGGACTCCATCCCAAGACACTGGGATCATGACCTGAGCTGAAGGCAGATGCTTAATGACCTGAGCCATGCCTGGCTCAGTAGTCAGTGAGGTTTTTTTAATCTAAAAGGGTAAGAACTGGTTTTTAGTGTTATATCAGTTTTCTGTTTTTCTTTTGTAATCTTGTACACATCATCTATATAATGACAATTTTATCTTAATCTGTTGCTTTTCTTATTACTTTGAAACATGTTTTTATTGTTTCAGAAGTTCATTTTTATTAAAATTGTTCTTGTCTGCGTTCTTATTGATAGTCTTTTCTGTTTCTTCCCTTGCACATTTCATTTCCATCTAGGCTTCCTAAAGTTTAAATTTTCAGTGTTAGGCTCATTTAAGTTATTTCGAGTTTGTTGCTGTATCTGCTATAGAGTAAGGAGCTAATCTATTTTTGCCGATGTTGCATGTCAAGAAAAACAGAAATTCACAGAAAGTGTGTTTATTGGGCCTTTTTTTGAGACCTTTACATCCTAGTGAGATGACTACTAAATTTCCTCTCAATAAATATTTATTGAACATCTATTTTGTATTTGAGTAGAGAGAAGAAAACTGTAGGTACAGATTCTAGGTCATGTTTGTCAATGTCCTGAATCAGAACTAAGGGTAAAGCATTTGAGGAATAGAAGGATGTGGAGTATAGTGAGCAAAAAGAGAGTGGTAGAAGATGAGAACACACAGATGGGCTAGGGCAGGATCATTACTGGACTATGTATACCATGGTAAAGAAGTTGTGTATTTTATTCTATAAGCAATGGAAAGCCACTACAGAGTTTTTGTAAGAGCAGTGACATATACTAAAATCTGCTCTATTCTCTGTGCCAAATAGGTTTCAAGGTACAAAAGTAAGGGGTCAAAAGAGCTCAGTAAGAATTCCATTTCATTACAAGATGATGGTAGACTGGGTTAAGGTAATGGCAGAGAAGATAGAGAGAAATTAGGGTAGATATGATTTATTGATGGATATCTCAGTAAAGTGGGGGTGAGAGTGTTAATAAAGGATGACTTCCTCCTTTTGGACAGTTAATCTCTCTCTTTCAAGGGCCATCACATGCAGAAAAGGGAGCTTTTCAAAAGAAATGACGCCA